ATGGGAAACCTGCCTGGAGTGCTCCGGTGGTCCTTGACTTCCTCGGCCTGCAGCTTCCTACCTCCACTTCCAGATGGAAACATAGACTCCCTCCTAGGTCTCCAGAGTCCCCACATCTTTGTTCCCACTCTTTGCCCTGTTCTATGCCTTGTTTTGCTTCATTCACTGTTACCTCTTCAATAGCATGACTCTCTCTTAACTGCGTGTCTCTCCCCAGTCATGAGGCTCCTCATTTCCTCCATGGCTTGGACCTCAGTTTGACAATTATCTCTTTATTCATTTGCTTACTTGATTGCTATTTCTCACCACTAGACTGGAAAAACAATCAGGGCAGAACCCATGCCAGTTATTCCTAATTCCTAGCATGGTAAATATTTGTCAAACAAACATTTGCTGAATGAATGAATGATAATACTAAGTACACTGGATTGGAAATATTGACACTCCCCTCCCTTCTGCCCCAGACAACGAGTCGCTTATTTATGAGACCCTTTTCATCACAAGGCTAGATCTCCATTGCCTATGCAGGCTTCAAATTTGCAATAAATGCTGCAAGTTGAATTAGATACAATCAAATCAGAGGAGACAGAACAGAACTCCACGGGCATGATGGGAAACCCAGGAGGCATCCCTCACAGGCAGCTGGATGTAAATAAACTGACATGGCAGAGATGTGCCTTGGGAGGCAGAGCAGACAGGAAGAGGCAGCTTAATGAGAATTTGGAGACTTTCATGCAGAAGGAGCTGAGTGGACTTTCTAAGAAAAATCCACTCTCGCAATCAGGGAAAATGATTGCGATCCTACTTTATTGAACTGGGGATGTGGCCTTGGATAAATCGCCCCTGTGGGCCACAGTTGGCTAATCTGTAAAATGAGTGGGAAATACCAGATTAACACATGGTGCATAGTTTCACATTAGAAAATAAACATCAATTTGAGGGAAGATAATGATTATCATGCTCTGTCTGGAGGCCTGTGGTCTGGAATGGATTCTGTCTAGGCTGGACCATGCTGCCCACTATCCATGCAGGCTGCTGGACAGGTTCACACTATGTACACACAGAAGCTGTGACTGCCTGAGGTCTCTCTCTACAGCCAAAAAAAAAAAAAAGCACCAGGCAAAGAGGGGCAGGTGAAGTGCATCCTCCAGGTGCCTATGCAATACCGTGTCCAGGAAAAGCCTCAGAGACCAAAGGAGGAGGAGTGGCCCAGACTGCCACTTCTATTAATAATTCAGAGCCAATCCACTGTCCAGAGTTCCAGGAAGAATTTCCAATTTGGGCATCTTCTTCCTCCTTCCTAGAAATAGAGTATCCTATCCCATAGCCATGCAGGAAACTCTCATTTTTTTTTTAAGATGAGATAGAAGAAAACTAAATATTCCTTATAAAGTGTTCCCTGGGCAAATGATGGTATAAGAAATGATGGCATAGGATTTCCTCCCCAAACCAATGGTTGGCATTTTTAAATAGATACAAGTTGAATTGAGTAAAATCAAATCAGAGATGGATCAGAGCTTCCCAAATATGACCAAGGAGGCAGCACTCTGCGAGACGCATAAACGGACTTGACAGAGGTGATGGACAGCTCTTGAGTATAGACAGTTTTATAAACTTTTTAAGGGTTACATTTTTTCACTTTTGTTTTTGTTTGTTTATTTATTTGTCTTGTTACTGGGGATTGAACCGAGGGGCTTTACCACTCAGCTACACTCCCAGTCCTTTTTTGTTTTTGTTTGAGGCAGGGTCTCACGAAGTTGCTTAAGTCTTCACTGAGTTGCTGAGGCTGGCCTCAAACTTGTAATTCTCCTGTCTCAGCCTCTGGAGTCACTGGGATTTCAGGCACGTGCCACTATACCCAGCAACATTTTAAATGGTTATATAAAAAACTCTATAACAGCATCAATTTTGCCTCTTGGCCTCTGATGTGTCAAATATTTACTAGCTGGCCCTTTTCAGATTTTGCCAGCCCTTGCCCTAACAATTGCTGAATATCCTGCTCTTGGTAAAACTGGAGCTCCAATGGGGTTACCCACACTTGACTCTATACTCCATCCTGAAGGACGGTGATGGGGACAGGGCAGTGCTTCTCCTCTGGATCATTGCCCTCACTTCCCTCACCTAAGTGTCTTCTTCCTGGCTACCCTGCAAGATCTGCAGGAGTTTCTCTCTTCTCCTCTTCCCCACCCACCCCTAACCCTTGTCTCTCCATCTTACAACCTCTATGTGATACGTGAATACCCCTGGCCTATACATCTTGCTTTTGTTTTATTCTGATACCTTCCCCAATGGGACTGTAAGTTATATGAAGACAGGGACCACATCCCAGCTTTTTTCCCCAGTATCTCTCACCGCACCTATGAGACAACTAGCCAAGTAGACATGTGCTGCTCAAGGTCAAAAAAAAGAGCACTTGACCCTCATCTACAGTCAAACTCCTTGTGCACAAACCTGCCATTTCTGGAGGAAATCAAGAGCAAGGTGTCCCTGCCCCAAACCTCTGTTCAGTCCAGTTCAAGCCTGGAGTCTTACATCATCCCCTTAGAATATTGCAAATCCTAAGTCTATGGGAAAATTCTGCAAGGGCCAGTACTCTGTTTTATTTCTTTCCTCTCTCCAGGGAGTATCCCAGCAGGCTGCAGGGCAAACTAAGGAGGGGGGCTTTTAAAGAAAGTGAAAAGGGTGTTTTGTTTTGTTTTCTTTTCCTGAAACTGTAATGCCTTAGGGTTCAGAGAGCATGCACTGAGAAAAAGAAACATCTGAGTGGTGATAAAAGGTGACAAAAGAGGGGACCACCATGTACAGCCAGAGGAATGAGAAGTTATGCTCCATTTGTGTATGATATGTCAAAATGCAGTCTACTGTCATGTATAACTAATTAGAACATTTTTTTAAAGTCACCTTTATTACAATCTTTGGAAAAAGAAAAAAAAGAGGGGGCCAGATGCTTTGCTGAACTCACAAATGCATGACACCCAAGTATAGCTCTTCTTCCTGTGTCTTGTTTGCCAAAACTGGGAGATCATAAAAACCCAGAAAGGGTTTCCTGCTGTGGGAGCCAAGAAGTAACATCTGGATAAAAAGCTTGGCTGAGGCCACTTGATTTTATCTCCTCAGGAAGGTAAAGGCTATGGAAAATCAGTGACAGCAGAGAAGGAAGAGTGGCAGAGGGCAGGAAGGGGCTCCTTACCTCAGTTGGCCTGGGGAAGAGCCTTGACCTTTAGATTTGCTCCTGCTAATTACCTACAAAGACAAATCATGATGGCTTGGGTGGAACCGTGGAGTAGTTGCCAGAATCAAAGCAACAGGTGCACTGAGAATATGGAGAGATTGAAACACTTTGAACTGTCTAGTGAGTGTTCTTCCCGGTGCTGCAGGACAGGTCCCATGTCACTGGCCCGCAGGATGGGAGGTTGTAATAGGAGACTGGCATGCTGGACAGACTCCAGGGTTCCCTCTTAAATCATCTTGGTCCCCTTTGTAAAACTGACTTGATATATCTGCCTCCAATCCCTTGAAAATGGGGTGAGGGGACCTTCACTTTCTCATTTCCTTCTTGCTATCGCTGAGGATGTGTATAAGATTATACCCACGCATTGGACATCTAAAGATGCAGCAGTCCATCTGAATGGAACAACACCTAGTCAGGTACACAGATAGGTACAGGACCTCGGTGCTCTGCGTTACTTAAGCCTAAAAGAAGGGCCCTTCAGGTGGAAGGTGGTGACATGGGTTTTGTTTTTTTAGGGAGGGTAGAGGTCTAGAGGTTATCAGTCAGTCCTAATCACTATGTCAGTGCTAAACCACAAGCACTGGTTTTAAAGACATAGAGGGTTTGAAGGTAAGACTGTGTGGGATTGAGTTTTGGCAAGATGCCCTGCTTTCAGGCAGATTGTAAACTAGAAATAAATAGAGTGTCTCTGTTCTTCTTCCTTTGCTTTAGCATGAAATAAAAAAACAACAGAGCCCTGCCTGCCCTATCCTTCTGTTTCCTCCTCAAATCGCTATTAACAGCTCTTGAGTGGAAATGACTCGGGCATTCACAGACACTGGCTTTTATTATTGTATCTTATTTAAATCCACAATTCCCAGACATGGAGTTAGTGGATCCTCCCTCAACCATAGGGACACTGGACACACCTTCAGAATCAGTCAATAAGCCCACTCTTGAGATAGAGGACCTGTAATTATGGGTCACAAGCCCTCCCTGCTGAGACTGGAAAACAACCAGTCTTTGGATTATCCAGCAGGAAAAGCAGCAGCAGGAATCCTGATATATAGACCCAGAGAGAAATTATAGCCAGGGTTATTCCTATTGTCATGTTTTGCCACAGCCACTCAGTATAAAGGAAACAAAGGGATTTGCTTTGAGTTCAGGGACTGAACTGAATCTGTCAAAACCAGCCTTTAATGGGAACAGGCAAATCCTTCCCCTGGCCTCTTGCTGCTACTGTCCACCATAAAGGTTTTGCTCATTCCTCTGCTGTGCCATAGGGCAGTGGGCATCAGGCACTATTCCCTTGTGACTTTCACACTCATCTGCACTTTTGTGAACAGATTTCATGCCTGTGAAAATCAGATTTGTTTCTCAGAGCTATTGAGAGCAGTGCCAAGGAAGTCCTAAAACCTGCAGAAAAGTACACTTCAGAAATCCGGCCCCAGGGAACCACTGCTGGATTGCAAGGGTGGGAGGTACTCACCATCCTTTTCCTTTTAGCCCCCTGCACATTCCATACTGATGGGGTGTCTGATACCACACATCACACAGCACATTGCAGTGTGTCTGTGTCAAAGGCAGCCTGAAACAAACAGAATCTACCCACCATCGCCTATGAGGCTCAGAGAAACCATTATTAGCTTTCCAAGTCTTCTACCCCCAGTCAAGGCATTTGCCCTGACTCCAAAACCAGAAACAACAAGTGACAGACTATTATCTAAAATTTAAAAAAACAAACAAACAACAACTAACAAACAAACAAACAAAAAAAAAAAACTAACACTTGCCCCAAGTAAGTCACAATTTATTTCCTGGGATAAAAATAAGGAAAATGGATTATCAGAAGTCTTCCTCTAACACCATTAAAATGCTTTTCAAAGAAAGTTATAAGAATCACTTAAGGCTCACAGAAAAAGTCAGATTTGTTTTTTGTTTTTTTTTTTCCAGAACATTCCTTACCCTAGATACAAAGCACCCATATCACATCCCAGAAAAGAGAGACTTGAAGAAACAGCCATGCCAGGATCTCTGGCTCCAAGTATCCCAGGAAAACATCACAAAACTCTTTTCCATAAATTCAACATATATCTTGAGAATAAATGCAAATATTCTCCATCTGAACTACAGTACAAAAATTCACTCACCAGCCATAAAAATAATATTGTCTCCTATACACAAATATAATAATATGTAAAACAAATTTGGAACACATGGATGGGGAGAGCTACAAAATCTCTTGGGATCTGAGCTATTTAAAGTCATTTTTGTTTGGGTTATCCCTCTGCTGGGTATAGGAAACTGGCTAAAATACATCCATCTCACAGCGCTCACCATTTCAACAGCTCCTGCGTCATGGAATGTGGTATTTTTTAAAAATAGGCGACCCTTGGTGTCATGGAAAAAAGAGGGAAAATAGGGAGTTAGAGGGTAGGAGGAAGAGAAAAACAGGCTTCAGTAACAAGGTGGACTTGGAATACTCTGTGGTATAAAGTAAATCCCCAGCTTCAGAGGCCACCCCTGTTCCCCACTCTGCTGCCTCCCTTTACAAGTCTGTTTCCCGGCTGCTGTCCAGACAGAGGGCATACAGAGATCTCCGCAAGTCAACATTGCTCTTGGCCTTGAGATTACACTTCTCCAGGGGGCAGCTGCCCCTCCGGTTACTGTCGGAATTCTCCAGGGACCCCCCAGCCTTGCAGAGGGAAGCCTTGCTCCAGCTAGCCTTCCTTTGGCCTCCAGAGTCTAGTCCAGACCCCCGTCTCTGGTTGCCTTGCTCTTCCTTCAGGGCTGCCTGCTCTTCATGGTCTGTCTCCCGATGATAGAAGTAGTTAAAGTTGGAGACAATGACGGGCACAGGCAGGGCAATAGTGAGGACCCCAGCAATGGCACACAGAGAGCCCACAATCTTACCACCCACGGTGATGGGCCTCATGTCCCCATAGCCCACGGTGGTCATAGTGACTACTGCCCACCAGAAGGCATCAGGGATGCTGGAGAAGTGGGACCCCTGGTTGTCTGCTTCTGCAAAGTAGACGGCACTGGAAAAGAGGATGACTCCAAGGAAAAGGAAGAAGATGAGCAGCCCCAGCTCCCTCATGGAGGCCTGCAAGGTCTTCCCCAGGATCTGCAGCCCCTTGGAGTGTCGGGAGAGCTTGAAGATGCGGAACACCCGGACCAGGCGGATCACCCTGAGGATGGCCAGGGACATGGCCTGCTGCCCATTCTGGCCACCCCCTCCTCCACCCCCTGGCTGTTGTTCTGCCAGTTCCGTGCCCAGGGTGATGAAGTAGGGGAAGATGGCCACAATATCAATGATGTTCATGATGTTCCTGGAGAACTCTGCCTTGCTGGGACAGGCAAAGAAGCGCACAAGCAGCTCAAAAGTGAACCAGATGACACACGTGGTCTCTACAATGAAGAAAGGGTCTGCCAATGTCCTAGGCAGGAGTGGGGCCACTGTCGGACCAGAGGGAGGTGCCATGGCCCCACTGCCATTGGTCCCTGAGGCGGGGGCAGAAGGCTGGTGAGGCACCGGGGGATGTCGAAGAAGCTCACGTTCATCCCTGAACTCAGGCAGGGTCTCCAAGCAGAAGGTGATGATAGAAATGAGAATGACTAAGACGGAGACGATGGCAATAGCCCGTGCAGACCCAGAGCTTTCTGGGTATTCAAAGATAAGCCACACCTGACGTTGGAACTCGTTACGGGGCAGGGGTTTCTCCTCTTCCTTAATGAAGCCCTCGTCCTCCCGGAAGCGCTCCATGGCCTCGTCCCCCAGCTGGTAAAAGCGGATCTCATCTGCGAACACGTCCAGGGAGACATTGACTGGCCTCCGCAGGCGACCTCCAGACTGGTAGTAGTAGAGGATGCCATCGAAGCTGGGCCGATTGCGGTCGAAGAAGTACTCATTTCTCAGAGGGTCAAAGTAGCGCAGACGCTTGGCTGGGTCCCCCAGGAGGGTATTGGGGAACTGTGCCAAGGTGCCCAGCTGCGTCTCGAAGCGCAGCCCAGAGATGTTTATGAGAACTCGCTGGTGGTGAAGGGCCCCCGCTCCCAGTACTGGTACCTGGTCCTCCACCATGCCCAAGCTGGGGTCGCCTTCTCCCTCCTCATCCTCTGGAGTGGGCCGTGTAGGCTGAGGCAGTTCCTGAGGCAGCGGAGGCAAAGGTCTCCCTCCTGGGTCCGTGCCCCTCTGAGTGCTGCGCCCCCTTGGAGCCTGCTCTTTGTGCCCATCGCTAAGCCCAGCCGTCGGAGGATACTGAAGCTCTCCTCCGGTGGTCTGACCACAGCCTGCTCTTGCCTCACCTTCTCCTCTGATGGTCATGGCACCTCCGTTCTCCAGGGGCACCAGGGCGATCTCCATGGCTCTGGAGCAGGGGGCATGCTGCGCCCTAGCCAAGGGCTCTCGCGCCCCCCACTCAGTTCCGCCTGCCCCTCTTGTCGGGCTCCTCTCCCTCAGTAGGCTGGTCTGGCTTTGGGGCGGGCTGGGGTTGCTGGCACGATCCTCTCCCTTGGTCCTGACGTCAAGAGCTGCTGCCCTGCTCTATGCTCCTCTCCCTCTCTCTCCCTCTCTCTCTGTTCTGGCAGCCGGTTACCAGGCAGCCGAAAAGCCTTCTTCCAGCAGATGCAACCTTCAGCCGCCCCTCTGGCTGCGCTGCTGCACGGCCTCCACCCTTTGTGCCTCCCCCGCCTTCTTCTCCAGCTTCCCTTCCCGAGTATGTGGCAGCGGGTGTCTCCCAAGAGGGCGCAGCTGGGGCCCTCGGCTAGAGAAAGGAGGGGGGCGAGAAGGTCCCCACACCCGCGGAGGGTGGAAGAGAGGGAGGGAGCCGCGCGAGAGAGGAACAGGTTGTACTGAGACCGCAGAAACTCCCAGGGCAACCAGATGAGAACAGCTCACCTGGGAACCCGCTGAAAGCCGAATGGACCCGAGGGAAAATCAACTATCACACTCTGAAAGCACTAAGCTTTGCGCTGAGTCGAAGTAGGAGAAAGGAGACCTCAGTTGTGTGTGTGTGTGTGTGTGTGTGTGTGTGTGTGTATTTCCCTTTTGGAGGAATAATGATATTTTCTTTGGGAAGAATTACAGACAGGAGGGGGCATGGCAGAGCTATGGACCCTGAAATCTACATATGGAGAAGCATCTGTCTTCCCATTTCTCTACAAACCCACAAAAAGATACTAGGCTGAACCTTGCAGCACCCCCTGCCCTTGACCTGGGAAAAGTCCTATCCCCAGCTCAGACAGCAGTGGTGAACCAGGACAGATCCAAAGGCAGCCCCAGGCTGGCAGCCTCATAGTGAGATTAGCTGTCTGGTCCCATAACCCTGCCACAACCCATCAGCCCTCTCAAACAAATCTTATTTACAAAAATCATAACTTAAGGACTTAAAAATCCTGGTGAGGACTGATCCTGCCTGGTGAGCCTTATAGTTAGCAATTGCATGGGGCGTGGTGTAGGGAGATGGGGTGAAGAGTGGATGATGAGAGGGAATTACTTTGCTCTTACTATGTATCAGCCAATTCTTGGTGCTTTACAAATATTAACTCACGTATTCCTACAGCAACCTATTTTGCGAGTATTATTTTTGTTCCCATCTTATAAATGAAGAAACAGAAGTACAGAGAGATTGGCTAATTTGCCCAACATCTCAAAAGTAGAAAGTGGTGGTGAAGCTGGGGATTCAGACCAAGGGAAGTCTTTCCAGGAATGTCTGGCTGTTCCAGACACAGCCTACAGATTCTTGATTTTAAATGACCATAGTCACTGAATTCTTGAATATCTCATTAGATTGTCTATTTTTGTTCCTGTATATTGTTTGGGGATTTATAGCTGTGGATGTTACAGCCTCTGGTCTATGAATTTATCTACACAGGGGGATGATCAGAAACTTGGTTCTGGGTGTACAAATTTTTGTTGAAATAGCAGAGTGTAGACGTACAAGCTTGTGCCAGAGTTGCTGTGAATCTGGTTCATGTAAATGTTTTTTGTTGTGTGTGATTCTGCTGTCTTTGCAGATGTGCATAAATGAAGAAGGGGAATGAATGTGAAAATCAGTATGTGGAGACATCACTGGCTAACCACAGGGACTTGTATTCTCTTCCCCCAAACTCTGCCATCTCTGTTCCATCTCCACTGGTCTTTTATTCTTTGGTGGTGGCATGACGGGGGGGGGGGGGGGGGTGCTGAGGATTGAACTCAGGTTCTTAAGCACTGGCCTTGTGCATGCTAGGCTTGCTCAGTGGAGCAAGCCCTGGGCCCCTTTTGTTTTCTATGGCTCTTTAAAGTTGCCAGTCAGCATCAGGTCTGCCCCTGCTGAGCTTGTGGAGGATGAGGTCAGACACCCATGACCACTGTGTCCTGTTTATTAACTCAAGCATCTTGTAAATGCCATATTAATCCCCTTTGGATTCCCCAAGGGAAAGAGTCTCTGGAGTCTCTTGTCTTCTAGGCACCTTGGGGAAGACTGTTCTCTGAAGAATCAGAATACAACATAAACAGTCCTGCACTTAAGTCAGGCCTCCTTTAATGTGGTATTTTCTTAAATTGGCTTCCTGTGCTTTTACTACCTCTCCCAAGTTTCTTGCAAAATTACCTTCAGATGTCATAATTGGCAGCCATGGAGATTTCCCTTAAAAAAGAACTTGGTTATCAGCTGCAGGAGTGCAATGAGTTGTCAACTCCCATCTGTTAGCACCTTCTCACTCTGTCTCAGCTTTCCAGCAGAGGTCACACTCCCCCCCTCCAACCCCCAGGCAGCCCTCTGCCAATGACTGTGCACAGAAGAGTTGCAAGGACCTGGCCACTTCTGCCCAGTGCAGAAGTCCCCTGACAGTAACCTTTGCTCTGGAAGTCCCCATTGAATCAGCCAAGACTGTGAGATCTGTGTTGTACTCCGAGACTCTCCCTTTCCAACCTGTCTTCTGCTTCTCTTTCCTTTCACAAGTCTTGGATCAGCATCATTGTCTGAATGCTTTACCTAAGGAATTCTGCTTCCTATCACTTTTGTCTTTTATCATCTTCCAAAAAACCTCTTGCATTCCATCTCTGGGTCTTCTTCCCAGAAGACACATCACATAACTGAAATCCGCCTTATTTTCTACACATCTCGTCCTAGAAAATATGTTCTTTTATAGTGGTGTTTAAAAGTGGACTATCACCTCAGGATCTTGTTAAAATGCAGAGTCTGCTCTGGTGTGCATTTTAGACTAATTTCAAACACACTTCCAGGTGATACTGCTGTTCCTATCTACAGATCTGTGTATCAGCCTCTTCTCAGACAAGATCCAAATAAAGTTTCTAGCATTTTTTTCCATTTCTAGATATGTCCCCAGAATGACATGCACTGAGGAAAACAAAAGGGAGTTCTTCTGTTAATTCATTGGACTGGTCCTATCAGATAATAGGAGGACTTGGAAGGAATACAGAACCAAAGAGAAAAGGAGTGATTTTAAGACAGGTATTGAAGGGAGGGAGAGCTGGGCTGGAGGAGAAGGAAAGAAGAAGAGGAAGAGGAGAAGAAATCCTAAATGTCAAGTTTATTATCCATTCCAAATGTATTTATGGAGTACCTGATATGTACAAGCCATTGATGACCAAGATAGATGTGATTCATATGTCTCTTGGTGGTACATCCTAGGGAAGCAAAAGACACAGAGCATCTAATTTTAAATTAATTGTTTGATTACAATTTTGATGATTGGCACCAACTAGAATATGGGGCACTATGAGAATAGTGGGGATCCTGACTCCACCTAGGGCTCAAGGAAGATTTTTCTGAGATTGTGATGGGGGAAGACAAGCTATTTCAGATGAAAGAAAGAGTGTGTCCTGAGATCCCAGGAAAGGAAGGGACAGGGTTGCCTTGAGGAACAAAAGAAAGCTAATGTCATTGACACAGAGGGCCAAGGAAGAGTTCTGTGAGATTGAGTCAGAGAGAAAGATGAACATAAAGTCGTGGAGAGCCTGCTCCATCACATTTCACCATCTCCTCAACAAGATGGCATAATAGTTTCTTTCTTCTATATTCAGATTCTTTGCTTGTTTCTCTGTTAAAGCAAATGTGCCCATATGCTTTTATTTTAGCTTCCAATTGCTCATTTTGTAAACTATTCCTTTCATTCCTATCAGAATATCTTTGGTTTAATCTTTGTGGATATGTATGTATCTATCTTATTTATAACTGGTTTCTTCCACACCATTTATCCATCTGTCTACCTGCTGACCTATTTATCTGTCATCTATTTGTATATCAATAGATAAATGGACAGTAGGCGACAGATACACAAAGACAGAGATCATAAAATCAGGGACTACTCTTTACTTATCTGATTTTCCTTCCAACACCAAACATGGTGCTGAATTAATATCATGCATTTCAATAAATATGTGCTGAATGCAATTGAACTAAGAGAAAGAAATTCACCTGTTGGAGCAAGGAGGAAGGGGAAACTGAGGGACAGGAATGAAGGGTAATTTCTGAAATCACTTAAATAATGAAGACTCATTTGAATGGCCAAATAGGCTAAGTGGTAAATTAAATTTTCTCTGGCCCTTTGTGTATGTATATATATATATATATATATATATATATATATATATATATATATATCACTGTATTATCTATTGTTGCATAAGCCACCTCAATTGTGTAGATAAAAACAGCTCTGTGGATAAAACAATAATTTAGTATACTGGGTTGTGCAATTTAATTCCTAGTGTTTGTAAGGCCTAAAGTTACTGTAGCTCTGTTTGTTATATCAGAATGAAACAAAAACATGAAGACCTGTTGGATTTTCACCTAGTTAAACAGGAAAACTTTCATTTCTAGACAGAATTTAAAGAGTCAAGGAGGAGGCAAAAATACTATTTGTTTTTAATTATGCCATTCATTTCTTGCCTATCAAACATGAATTTTGCCCCTCCTCCTTGAAGTGATTGACAGCCATGGGAGCCACATTGGTGCTGCCCTGGGATTCTGGAGAGAGTCCTGGTAATAACCTGCACTGAAATGCTGCAAGCCAACTAACACTACTAACTACACAGCCTAAGTCTCAGGACTCAGCCTACTTCTCCTTTCACTTAAGAAGATGGACAAATGGGTGCTGTTGCAAGGACCACACCTGAAATGCATATCCAGCCATCTCTGGGGGGCTCCAACAACCAAACCCCAGGTACCATGGAGGGAGGTCAGATTTCATAAAGTAAGAGAAGCACACTCTACAATGAGCCCTCACTTTTCTATGATCCTGGTAAACTAGTTATTCCAAATAACCTCATCACACATCTGCCCTGAGTCCCTGGATCCCCTTTCCATTAAAAGGGAAACTAGTCAGACCACCATTGTATCTCCTTCCTCAAGGACCTGTCAACCCCAGACTGGGAAGATTTGTTTTCTCCAGCCTCCCCAACAGCATCTTTCTAAGGGAACATAGAGGTGTCATTAGCTGGAGGAGCAGGTTCAGGACTTCTCAGGCTGGACCAGGGAGAGCCAAAGAGAAGGAAGTGTGGTCAAAATTTAAAAATTGCTCCTCTTCTCAACTTAAAAAAAAAAGGAAAACTTGATTAATAGATCCTTGGTAGGCTGGGTCTCACTGCTATTATGAAGCATGCAATTCTATGATATGTTACTATTAAATAGCACACTGCAAGGATATCTGATCAGCAATAATTGGTAATAGAGTATCAATCAGAAAAATAGTAAAATTCTTTCATTGA